GGGCGGGTCCAGCCAGCCCGCTTCCAGGCGGGGAACCGGCGGCCCTTTTGTATCCCTAGCCCGAGAGCTCGACCCCGAGAGCGGCCACGCTGGGCCTCCCGCCCGGTGTCCTGGCATCGCGCAGGGGCCAAGGCCAGGTGCCCCGGAGGGAATGACTAGAACAGCTTCCCAGCCAGGGATCTGTCCTTGGCCGCCCTTTCCCGGCTTCTGACCGAGGCTAGGGACAGCGTCCCTGCCCACCCTGCCCACCTTGCATTGTGATCTAGCCCTGCCCTGGCCTGCGGAGTCTGAAGGCTCTGACCCCTGGGTTGATCTGATGCCCTGCTTTAGTCCTAGGATCCCGCCTGTTGAAGATTATTACATCCCCACCCTCTTTTTCTTTGTATAGCTGTCTCTGGGCTCAAGTAATTCTCTCTGTAAAGAGACTTAACCCTGACCTGTGTCTCTTCAAGACTGTCCTCGATGGGGTTAATCTTGGGACTCCTGTGGCCATCCTGTGTGTTGCTATAGTTTCCTTGACCTTGCTTTCTCTCTGGATGTACCTTGAGACTTTCCTTCTAATTCCCCTGATACTCAAAACTGGTTTGCTGTACCCCAAGGGGAAGAGCTTAGCCCCAGTTGGCCTTTCTGAAAGCTCCGTGCAGTTGTCTGTGTATGAGGCTGGGTGCTTCAGGTTTTGCAATTCTGCTTCTTTACCAGCTTCTGTAGAGTTAAATCATCTGAGATTGTGAGTCAAATAACATGGTAATAGACCCTTAAAGCTATATAAGACACATGTTGACTGTCATGGTCACCTCACCATCAAGAAAAAATCAGGACCTCTCTCCATTTTTGAACTTCAGGGCTTTTAGCCAATGTCTGGTGAGCTGTTGGGTGAGATTCCTGTAGACCAGAGGTTCTCAAATGGGGTGAGGGGTTGGATGGGGCATGTATGCAGGGAAGGGCATGAAAAGCTTGAAGAGGGGGGCGACTGCACATTTTCCCCACAAAAATGGATAACCAGCGAAGCTGATTCCTCCAGACATAACAGGCTGTCTGGTGGTGCTGGGCATTTTGGAAATTTAACAAAGTCAAATGTCATAGCATTATATAAAGTCATTGTCATCTGTAGGTTACTGCATTTGCTGCAACACTGTGTGCACCAGTCGCAATCAGAGTCTTGCTTTGGTTCTGTTTGAATCACTGTATGCTGTTTTTAATAGTGAGACCTGCATGGTGATTTTTTAAAAATCAGTATATGTCCTTGTGTGGTAGGAGTGCCCTAAGCTACTTACAGACACAAAGATAGGTGGGGAGGGGCACAATCAAGTAAGCTTGAGGACCCCAGCTGTAGACTTTTTGAATAAAGAGATCCAGTGTGAATTCAGTTGGGTCTTCCCCCTCTAACTGGTCTCTAAGCTTCCATTTTAGGGGGAGACTGTAGAGAAACAGATGGTGAAGCAACTCTGCATTGCTTTGTTGAGCTGTGATAGACAGCACTCGGGAATCTATATCACTTGCATCTACACGTTGTACCTCCCTTAACTGGGGCTCTCTGGTCCAGCAGCTAGACCAGTGATGTTCCATGACAAGAGATTCCTGTAGAGGGCTGGTGGCAGGGAGCCCTGCAGCAGGTCTGGAGCCCAGCAGCAGGGCTGCCTTCCAGTGGTGACACTGGGTGTGGGGGCGGGAGGCAGTGGGGCTGCCCTGCAGGACAGGAGCCCAGGAGCAGGGCTGCTGCCTGACAGCAATACTGTCCATTAAGACCGGGAGCCAGTGGTGGTGCCAGGAACCTGTCAGCAGGGCCGCTCAGCAGCCCTACTGCCGCCCGGCGGCACAGCAGTGTGGTCGTACTAGGAGGCAGTGGGTTGACCTGCACGGCTGGGAGCAGGGCCGGGAACCTGTGAGTGGGGCTGCCCGGCAGCACAGCAAAGTGCCCGGCAGCCCCACTGCTACTTGGCCTATTTGAAACCCAGGGAGACACCAGGACTGGCCAGCAAAGCTGAAATGCAAGCAAGGCTGTCGCCTGGAGGCACAATTGAACCCCAGCACTGACACTGCCCCGTGGGGCCAGGAGCACTGTGCTGAGGGGCTGGCGACGGCAGAGAGGGAGGAAGTTTGGCAGCGAGGCCATGGCTGGGGGAACAAGGGGAGGCAGAAATGACCTGCCCTGCTCTTACAAAATCCCTTATCTTGAGGGTGCGGACCAGGGATGTCCAACTGTAGTACTGGACTAGTATCCTTGTCAGTATTGTCTCTAACTCTACTGGCAATGGATTGAGATGCAGAGCAGCCTCTGTCCATGGGGAGCTCAGATGTGCTGCACACAGGAGCTGTTGCCGTGGAGCAGCCTTTGTCTGCAGCAAATCAGGGCTGCTGTGGACAGAGGCTGCTTCATGGCAGCCTCCCGTCCCATGCTGCTGCCTCTGTCAGAGTCAGCAGCCTGTGTGGCAGGGGTGGAGAGGGGGAAGTGGGAGTGAGAGGTGGCACCTGGAGCTGGTACGGGGGGGAAACCAGCTTGTAAGGCAGCTCCCCCCAGCAGTGGCTCCTGCCTCCCCCCGCAACCTCTAGGAGGTGGAGAGCCTGCTTGAAAGCTGGCTTCCATGTGTATTGGCTCCCCCTGCCCATCTTACCCCCCATGCTACTGCCTCTCTATCAGAGGCAGGTGCACAGAGGTGGTGGGGGCAGGTGGATCCAGTGCTTGTGGGGAGCCTCATTGCTCCCACTCCTCAGCCTCTACCTCGCTGCCTCTGGTACAGAGACAGCAAGGGTGGGGAATATGTGTAGTCAACAAGATGAACCAATTAGTCTAGGCTTATTGGTTCATTGTGTAATAATGTAGCTGTAGGGATGTGTGGAGCAGCTCTCTGCTGGGTTATACCATGTGGTGTATATGGTGCTGCCACCAGGGGAACAGAACGGATGGAAACAGTAGTGGGATGTTTTTGGCAAAAAGTGACTGGCACTCTGAGGCCACCCTTTCATAAGAACGGCCAGACTGGGTCAGACCAAAGGTCCATCTAGCCCAGTGCCCTGTCTGCCCAGAGTGGACAATACCAGATGCCCCAGAGGGAGGGATCGCGTGAGGATTACATGTCACCCACCTCCAGACAGACAGACACCATTCCTACCCCTCCTGGCTAATAGCCATTGATGGACCGAACCTCCATGAATCTATCTCGCTCTCTTTTGAACCTGTTAAAGTTCTAGCCTTCACGGCATCCTCTGGCAATTCAGAGCAGCGCTCAGGCCAGCTCTTCTGGCATCTCAGTGATGGTGGGATGTCTGTCTTGATGCTGCCCATATTGTACCTGCTCTCTGGTGCCAGCAGAGGGTGCTACCCACTAGGGCTAAGAGCCCATCACACCTGCCAGCTCTGAATCTCACTGAATACCCACCCAGCCTGTTCTGAAATGCAGCAGAGTGATCAGACCCTTTGTGCTGATGTTTGTGTGGGGATCACCTGAACACACCCAAAGGCTATGACAGATGTTGTGTAAGGACCTTGGAAAATGTCGTTGGGTAGGTCAAAAGTACGTGCATTAGCCCCAGTTCAACAAAGAATTTAAGAATTGCCTGTATCCCGTTAAGTGTGGTGTGGAGAGTTACATTTCTCCTTCTGACTTGGCTCTTGCTTTTCTGATTCATGCTGATTGTAAAGCAGACTGACATTTAGTTCAGAAACTGAAAATCTTTCTCTTACTAGGAGGAAGATCTGTTACAAGATGTCTGCAGGGAAATAGTCGTGAAGTGGTCTGAAGCTCAGAATGCTGGCGTAAGAGAGAAAAAGGAAGGTAGTGTTGACGCTTCGCATGTCTTGATCAACAAGAGCTTTATTTTCCAGACCATGTCTCTGGGGACACTCAGAATGTAGGTAGCAACATATATTAGTACTTTGAAAAAAAATACGGATTTATTGCACTTAAATCCTTATTCTTGGCTTTCTGAATCGCCTAACTCTGAGATGGTCAATGTCTTTGAAAAAATGCGCCTCTTGTGCTGGTGTTTTTGTGGCCGCTGTTATGCTGGGGCGCCAGCCATTGCCTCTCTGGCCATGTGAGCCCCCAGCTCATGGCAGTAATGGAGACACTCATTAATGCCCTGATTGCTCTCTTTCCCAGATGAGATCCAGGCAATTGCCAGCATGATCGAAAAGCAGGCCCAGATCGTGGTGAAGCCGAAGAAGGTTTCCCAGGATGAAGAGCTGAGGAAAGCTGCCCTCCTGGCTCAGTATGCTAATGTAACAGATGAGGAGGAATATCCTTTCTCTGTCCCAAGCCTCATATTGCTGGCCACCTTCCCAGGCTGCTTTTAAGGGTGAAAGTGTGATTCTGCCTCCCATGGGGCTTTCTTGCGTCTTTGGATTTTAGTTAGAGACCTAGGACCACCCATGCCCATTTCTGTTCTCTTGTAGCTGTCTTGGCAGGAGCGGCATTGCCCAGTGTTCTGTAGAGCACAATCTGAAGGAGCCATGGAAGCAAACCAAAGGCAGAGAACTCTTGCTATGGGAAGAGGCTTCCTGCCCCCTGCTGTGCGCTTCCCCTTGGCATCCCCCACTTCCATCCCAGAACCCAGTGACGATATGGGCTGGGCCAGAGCCTGCGATGCTTGTGTGATCTGTTCTTGGAAGCAGGGCTAGAATGGGCTGGTCCCAGCAGCCTGCTTGTGAAGCATTGGTGAGAGCTAATGTGTGCGGGACTCTCAAGCTGCTCCTCTTAGTGAGTAGTTGGGCTCTTCCCGGGGGCAGATGGCAGCTTTCCTGGGGAGAGCTGGTATATTAAAAGATGGGGATGTCTACTTGGTTTTAGAGCCCTGGGTTCTATTCCTCGATCTGTGTGACATCAAGTAACCCTCTGGACCTCAGCTTCTGGCACCACCTCTGTTGTGTTGACTGAATGTCTGATGTGCACTGAGTTCCTAGGACAGAGAAGACTAGTGAGGTGCAGAGTTTCATTCTGAGCTACCAGGTTTCCTTAGTTATTCACTGGAGCAGATGAGCAGGATGGAGCCACTGCAGCAGCACTAACGATTGGATCAGAAAAATGTATCCTTTTAAAATCCCAGCTCACGTGTCACTGAGGCTTTTCTGGAAGGCCTGTAAGTTCTGCATTGAATTTCCTTTTGTCCTCTCTGAGCTGCCACTAGCTGCCTCTCTATTGCTACATGTGGGTTGGCTTGTTAAACTCAAAGGGTATTGTTTTCAGAAGTGCCCTGTGTCAGCCTGGCTGTCGTCCTATTCAAGTCCCAGGTAAATCTGCTGGATTTAGTGGGGGCAGAATTGGGCCTATGCTAAAGGTCTCAAAAAAAAACCCCCACCCTACATTTTCAGAGAGGGCAGAGGCAACTGGTGTGATTCCTGCATAATGTGGTTCTATGCACGCTGCCCACCGAGTGGGGGATGCAATTAATCAAGTTATCAAGGGGCAACTTCTGTCCCCATGTGTCTAGGAGTGAAAAGGATCCTGTTACTGGGTCTGCTTACCCATGGGGCTCATGTTCCAGCTGGCAGTGTGAAATAATGTGGCCTGCAGTGTAAGATACAAAGGGAAGTGAGTTTAAAGTTGACCTTCACTTGTTCCCTGATGTATAAAAACTGAACGTTACCATCCCCCACTGTTAGCTTTTGTTACCTTGGGAGCACAGTTCCCTTCCAGCAAAGCAGGCCAGGGAAGGAGGCTCAGGTGTACCTCATGAGGGAAGGAGCAATGACTTCTTCAGATCATGTTACCAAACACATTTCCCTTCAGCATTGAACACCATGAAAGATTCAGCCCCCTCCCCTCCCCTTTTGTTATGAAAGGAGAGAGCCCAAACCACATCTGGGGCAGGCTCAGCTGGCACAAAACATCCAAGCTCCTTTGAAGTCAGTGGAGCTGCTTTACGCCTGCCTGGGAGGTTCTTGTCTATAACTGCCCGGTGTTTTGCATTGCTCTCATTAGATTGGTTTAGAAACAGCCTAGTTAGTGGTACAACCTGCTGATGGGGTGAAGTTCCACAGAGAGTCACAGTTGTGCACTAGGCCAGCTGAGCTCCTCTGTCTCTCTCTCTGCCCACAGAAGGGGGTTGTGCCATTTTTCCTATTTGTTTAGAGTTAACGTAATTAAAATGTGCTTCTTTGCCAAGGCTTGGCCCTCGTGAACTGGACAAGGCATAAAAACCCCATCCGCTTGCCCAGGCACTGGCCAGCTAGAACCAGATGAGCTTTTAAGATGTAACATTAAGGGTGTGAAACTTGTGCTGTCCAGCCCTGAGTGTCTTAGGGCAGCAAATGCTCCTTCAGGGAGTAGGCTAGCCGGATTGCTGTTCCTGGTTCTAATGTAAAATCCAAGCAGCACTTCCTTTACCTCCCTTGCTTCACCCTCCATCCCAAACTTTCAGGCTTCCTTTGTGATGAAGGAAGCCTGTGTCCCTCCTTTGGCCATGCGCTATAGCAGAAGGCATGGCCACTGATATGCAAGTTCTGGTGCTCTGCGTTCCGCCCGGCAAATGGGCATATCCGAGCTGCCTGGGCACCCGGTTCTGTGTGGCTGCCAATGGCTCTCGAGGCAAATCCTTGTCTCCACCCCATCCCTAGCACTGCCATCAGACACTGCCTCGTGAGCCACATCACTTATATGTGCTTTGCCACGGATGTGGCTCACGAGGCAGGAGAGATCATGGGGCCCTGAACAGGAGGTGCAGTTGTTGCCCACATCTCTGCACCTTAGACCATGGGTTTGGGAAGATGCAGCAGGAGCGGGGCTGCTGGAACTGCTGGCTAAACCCTTTGCCCCATTGAGATGTAGTGCAGGAGCCAGGAAGCCTGTTCATGGTCACAGCTATGAAAACCCCTGCCCAGCAGTCTGTGGGAGAATCTCATCCCTGGCCCTTATCTGTGTACTGCTGAGGGGCTCTGGCCCTGCACTGGGCAGCGAGAGACTCTTCCGTGCATGCTGCTGTCCTGGGCACACAGCATAGAGCAGAGCTTGTCTGCAGATGGTGTGGGGACCCAGAAGCCATCTTTAGATTTCTGCTTTCTGTCGGGGGGGGCTCCGCTGCAAAGCAGCTGTGGAGAGAGCGCAGCATGGCCTGCTGGCCTGCTAACAAAAAGCTGCCATATCAGGTACTTCAGGAAAGAGGGGGGTGGGGAGGTCTGGGATAAGGCAGTCCCCTCTATAGCATGTGTACGTACTAACTCCTCCACACCAGTTTAAATAGGCCCATGAGCAGAGAGCACTGAGAAGAACCCAGGGGCTGAAGCACATCAGTTACGCTCCTTACCTTGCAAGCAGCGTTGTTCCGTAACACAAACGTGGAGGATGTAGTGAACGCAAGGAAGCTGGAAAGAGATTCTCTGCGGGACGAGTCCCAGAAGAAAAAAGAGCAAGACAAGCTCCAGCGTGAGAAGGACAAGCTAGCCAAGCAGGAGCGGAAGGACAAGGAGAAGAAGAGAACACAGAAGGGCGAGCGGAAGCGATAGCCACGGTTGTTCCTATTGGACTCCTTCAAAGAACAGAACTTCTCATTTTGTCTGTGTGTGTGTGAAACAAAACAAGTGGGCAGGGGGCTGGCAGAGGAGGCTTGGAAGCCTTTTCCCAGCAGAATTGCAAACACTTAAAAACAAAATGTGCCATATGCTTGTGGTGTCAGTGTGTGGGGTTTGCTGTGGCCAGTGTCTGTACCAAAGACAGGGAAGTGGCTGTATTATTTTTTAATATCTGTCATATTTTACTTTTGACTGCTTAAAAATGAGAGGGGGAGAACAGTTGGAGTAGCTTAAACTACTGCCCCCTCCTCCTGCTTGAGGACCCCAGGGAAGTCCTGCTGCTGTGGGGGTGAGCGTAAGCAGAGCCCCGTTTTCAAGAGGTGTCCTAGGGCCTTTGATCCTGAGGCTGGGCTGCTATGAGGTGTGTATATTTCTTGCCAAGTTTGACTCGCCTGAGGCAAATGGGCCTTTCTTGGACGCTGACAGCAATCTGGGATTTCTCCTCTGGCCAACATCAGGCAGGGTTTTGCCTGAACTGGGAGCGTGTCACATTGATGATGCAAGACTGGGAAGTAAAGCCCCAGAGAATGCAGGGGTAAGAAACAGTCTGGATCACGGGAGTAGCTGCTTCCAGGCTCATGCTGACTCTGTACTGGGGAAGTGCCCTAGTGCCCTCTGTTATACTAAGCCTCGATGCTGCTAGACTGAAGATCAGCTGCTGTCTTTGGACTGTGGGGGTGGCTGCTGTAGGGTTTAAAAAAGTCTTGGGGCTTCTCTGTTCTAGGATTTTGTTCTTAGTGTCCTACAGCTGCTCCTAGCGCTAGCACCAGTGAGTGTTCCAGACACGTTGGATGCTGATCTCCCCCCATGTGGCCTAACCCCCTTGCAGCAGCTCTAGCAAGCATGGTAGTTACCGTGCTGCTGGCCTGTTTGTGTCAGTTTGAGCACTCGCACTGGTGGAGCTGCAGCAGGAGCCCAACTTTCGAGGGACGTGAGGCTGTTTCTGCCGACACCTCAGTGGCCAACAATCAGGGACTTTCCCCGAACAGCTTGTCAGGCCACAATCTGGGTGTCCGTTTCTGGGTGGTCAGGCCTGTGTTGTTTTTCAGAGTGGCATGGGATGGAAACACTGAATCTGTCCCTGGTCACCTGCTTCTATGCTCCCTGTCTGGTCAGCACGTGCTGCCCTTGCCGACCCCTGTCCTTTGGGACACTAGGCAGCTACTGTGCTGATTGAAGGGCCTTGTGCTCTTGTCAGAGAACTACTGGGACTGTCCACCTGCGTTACCTTTGCCTTGACAATAAACTGGTGCTTGGCTGAGATTACGGAACGTTTGACTCTTCCCTGTTTCCCTAAAACCAGAGCAAATCAAATGTTGAGCTGTACGACGCTGCTGCTGATTTCTTCTAAAATATCCCAAGCATCGGAAAGCCCTTTGCAGGCTGCAGGCAGGCAGGCAGTGAGATCATTTGCATATTTTAGCTACTCAGGCCACATGCGGTAGGCGGATCTTTGTCCCCAGAGTGTCAGGAATTTTGCACATTTTATAAATCCTCCACTCATCTCAGTGTAAATTCAGGGGTCTGACTGGGGTTGACAGAGCTAATTGCTCCCCTCAGCACCACATGTATCGTGACCACGATGAAACCCTGTTATAATTGAGACTCTGGCCATGACCAGCTGTGGGTTCTGGGAGATGGAGATCCACGTACTGAAACAGGAGCCAGGTCCTCCCTAGTTCATGCTGCTCACCCGACCCACCTTTCCCTGCAAGCTGAGAAGGAAGGGGAGGCCTGTAGGTGCATCAAGCATTTTCCAGTAACTGGTGAGGCAACATTTGCGGTCTACCAGGTGGAGGAATGATCCCAGGCCCCAATAAAAAGTTCCCCAGTCAAGTTACTGCTGATCTGATCTGGGGATACGCCCTCCAGATCCTCAAGGAACCTGACCCTGTGTTGTGAGAAAATACTAAATGGCTGTCAACCTTAGGCTGCCAGATGCATCCTAGCCAAGTCCATCCTACTTCAAGAAGTCTAGGATGTGCTGCAAGAAGAATTGCAGGGGTGGAACTGAGGAGCACCAGATGGAGAACATCTTCCATTTTCCAGGTAAGTAGTTCTGGTCATCTGCCCATCAGGATTTCTTGGTCTTTTCTGCTCCTCTGGATTTCGTCATGGAGCTTTCAGACCGTGAAGTGTAGGATGTGAGATTTGGGTGAAGAATTCAGCCATGATCCCTGGATATGAGATCTATGTACAAGAGGAGCCTTGGACGCACCCCCGCCAACATGGCCAAGAGAGGGAAAATTAGTACTTAATGGGCCATGTCGGCGCTATGAGGATGACTTGAGCTCAAACCTGTTTGATCTTCATCTGAGCTTGTGAATGAGTGGGCTGGGTGGAATATGTAGCATGAGCTGTGTCCATGGTAACAGGACTGCAGCTCCGAGAGATTTCCAGCTGTGTCCCCTGAGCAAGCAGAACTGATGGCATTTCCAGTTGGATAGAGTGGCAAACAGGGAGTCCCCTGCCATTGGAACATCCCTCACAGTGTGAATGGAGAGACCAAGCGATCTGCTAGCTGGCTCAACTCCAGGAAGGCAGGAAGCTTCTAGTGAGATGATGTATTTGATGCACAAGAGCCACAGGCAGACCACTCCCTGGCATAGTGGGGAAGTGTGTGCACCTCCTTGCTTGCTTCTGTGGAAAATGTCTGTTGTGTTGTCTGTCAGGACTGAAATGGATTTGCCTGTCACACGAGGCAGAAAAGCCTGACGTTAGATGCACTGCCTTGACTTCCTAGATGTTGATACGCAGAGTGAGTTCTTGAGACCATAGGCCTTGTGTTCAGATGGGCCTAAATGTGCCTCCCAGCCACAGGCGGGTGTATTGAATACAAGTGACAGAAATGGGTGAGGTCTTGCATACGGTGCTGTGATCCATCCACCATTGAAGTGAGGTTAGGACTTGAGCTGGGACCATAAGAACAGAATTTACAGGTGTCAGTGGAGTAAATTGTAGCCAGCCAGGCTTACAGAGGTGTGAGTTGAAGCTGTGTTTGTTATAATACTTATGTGCTCTGCCATATGTCCCAGAAGACACAGGCATTGTGATGATCAAGGGACTTTACAAGGGATGAGATTGTGAGGAAGCAGTCCTGCAGAAACATAGCTCTTGCTTCTCTCTCTCATGCTATCCTTTGAACCAGAGTCAGGATGGATTTCTAGAGGTTCAACAGGAAACCCAGTGCATCAGAGGTTAACTGGATGTCATATGTTGGCTTTTACATAAGTTCTGGATCGGTTATGATCCGGTTGTTGAGGTCTGGAAACACGTTTCCCTTTTTCCCTAAAAATTCCTTTTGTGAAAACTCGGCAGGGCAGCCAAATGGGAGCACTGTGAATTGGTTGTGATCTTGGTTTGCTATGAACTTTAGAAAGCCTCTGTGATGAGGGAAGATTACAAGATGAAGGTAAGTGTCCTTTAGCCCAGGGGTCCATGGACCCCCAAGAGGTACGCGAGGTTCAAGTATAGGTAATTTATTGATTTTTTTCAATACAAAAAATCATACAATACTAAAAAAATTATGTAAAAAAACTTACTGAGAGGGGTCTGTGATGTATTTAGCTTAGACCAAGGAGTACGTGGACTGAAAAAGGTTCAGAACCGCTGCTTTAGACTGAGGGTAGCGTATCTAACTCTTGGATCCAGTGATTGGAATAATGGAGATTTGGGAGGGGGGGGGGGGCGGGAACTCACATGACTGAAGCACTGTCATGTCCGGGTGTAAACTGTTCAGGAAAGACAAGCGGGGGAGAAAAGGAGGAGGAGTTGCACTGTATGTCAGCACTACGACTGCTCAGAGCTCCTGTATGAAATTGGAGAAAAGCCTGTTGCAATTCTTTCAGTTGACACCTGCTGGGAGGCAAATACAGCCATGCACAGACGATCCAGGAAATTTTCAGTGTGTGTTGGGGACACCTTCCTGGTACAAAATGCTAGACGAACAGAATTTGTTGGGGAAAAGTCACCATGTTTTCTGTAAAGGGAAATCATGCCTTACTAATCTCCTAGAGTTCTCTGAGAGCATCCACAAGCATGTGGATCCAGTGGCTATCGTGTACTTAGATTTCCAGAACACCATTGACAGGGTCCCTCACCAAAAGCTCGTAAATAAAGTAAGCTGTCATGAGGTAAGAATGAAGATCCTCTCGTGAACTGATAACTGGTTAAAAGACAGGAAACAAAGGGTAAGAATAAATGGTCAGTTTTCAGAATGGAGAGGGGTAACTAGTGGTGTACTGCAGGGGTCTGTACTGGGACCAGTACTATTCTACATACTTATACCTGGAAAAAGGGCTAAACAATGAGGTAGCAGAATTTGCAGATGATACTAAACTGCTCACAATCGTTAAGAACAAAGCAGACTGTGAAGAATTTCAAATGGCTCTCTCAAACCTAGGAGGCTGGGCAACAAAATAGCAAATGAGTTTGTGTTGATAAATGCAAAGTAATGCACATTGGAAAACATAATCCCGACTATATCTACAAAAAGATAGATGCTAAATTAGCTATTACCAAACACCCACCGGATGTGCAACAGCATTCAAAAAAGCGACCAATGTTCGGAATCATGAAAAAAGGGATAGGGAATAAAAGAGAATATCTATGGCATGCCCACATCTCAAATACAGTGCGCAGATATGGTCACCTCATTTCAAAAAAAATATTGACATTGTAAAAAGTTCAGAAAAGGGCAAAAAATTATTAATTATTTAGGGATATGGAACGGCTGCCATATGAAAAGTTTAATAAGACTGGGTCTTTCAGGGTTAGACGAGATGGCTAAGAGGGAGGGATATGACAGAGGTTTATAAAACCATTGCTAGGTAGTGAAAGTGAAATAAAGGAGAGCTATTTATTCCTTCCCCTAACAGAAGAACTAGGGGTCACCAAATGAAATCAATATGTAGCAGGTTTAAAACAAAATAAAATATTTCTTCACATAACAGTCAACCTGTGGAACTCCTCGCCAGAGGATGTTGTGAAGACCAGGGCTTTAACAGGGTTCAAAAAAGAACTAGATACATTCATGGAGGATCGATCCATCAATGGATATGAGCCGGGATGGGCAGCCTCTGTTTACCAAAGGCTGGGAATGGGTAACAGGAGAGGGATCACTTGTTGGTTCCCTGTTCTGTTCATTTCTTCTGGGGCCCCTGACATTGGCCACTGTTAGAAGACAAGATACCGGGCTCCATGGACCTTTGGTCTGACCCAGAATGGCTGCTCTTATGCTTTTAATTGATAAGATGTGTGCTCAAAACGGATTGCCTCACAGTCTGGGAAATGCCATCACCTTGAATGCACGGCGTGCCACGCTCAGCCTGAACGTTTAGTTGTGTGGCCCACTGCCCCCTGCCTGGCACAGAGACTCCAGCCACCTCCTGTCCCCGACCTGGCGCACACACCCCAGTCCTGCTCAGGACCCAACCCCTCACCCTTTGCCTTGATTGACTCTGCTTCCAGGAGTGAATTCTCTCTTACTCCTTCCCAGGGGCCCTGAAAGAGCATCACCATGATGTCACTCTGACACAGCACCACTTGCTTGGCAAGATAGTAGGAAAGAGCTGGAAGGAGAGACGACCGGAACCGTTGGTAGCTTTGGCTGGGGCTACTCCTGCTGATAGTGGGGCCGGTGCTCCTCTTCAGGCGGGAGGAGCAGCGGGTGGGAGCAGTGGTTGGTCACCCCCAGAACCCTCTGGGTTCCCAGTTGTTCTTCCTTTCTCCAGAAGACCATGGAGTGGCCTCCACGGGACCCAAAGCCTGTTCCCAGCTCAGTCCAAGACCCGTAAGGTGCTGAGCAAGTGACACTGGGTGGAGCCTGACTCATCATACTTTGGTGTGGGGGTAGGGAACCCCAGCTGCCTCCTGCTAGGCCCTGCCTCTTGCTTCCTTTCTGAAGCCCGTGAGGTGGCAGGGTGTATCCCCAGACAAACCCCACGCTCGGGCAGAACGCATTGGCGGGCTAAAGCCAAAGCCCCGTCAGCACAATGGACTGTTGCAGAGTCGCACCCCATCTTCCCTCGGGCTCATGGCCAGCGGGGCTGCCCGCTCCATGTGGAGTAGGGGCATGTGAAATGCACCTGCTGAGTGTATGCTCTGGCTGGGATTTCTAAGGAGGCCAAGGGAATTAGGCATCCAAAATCCAGTGGGATTTGGGCACCATGGTGCCTCTGAAAATCTGAGGCTGAAGCCATGACCGGGGGCTGGACTCTGCATTGGTCTCTACCCAGCCTTCTCCCGGCAGGGCGGCTACCGAAGCGAGACA